TCGTTCTTTGAGAGAAAGATTCTCAAAAAAAAAAAAAGAAAAAAAAAAACAAAAAAAAAAAAAACAAAAATAAAAATAAAAGAAAAGGAAAGAAAATTTCTTCCTGTCACGTTTCGTCTACCTATTCTTTCGTTCATTAAAACACGTGATACGTTATTACGGATATAATCGCTCGCATTATTTCTAATTATAGTACGTAGGCCCAGATTGCCGTGTCTACGCAATATATAAAAAGTAATCCTTTCTTTCTCTCCCTCTCCATCTCTCACTCTTACTTTGTTCTACAGATATATATATATATATATATATATATATATATATATATATATATATATATATATATATATCTATAATGTATAACATACAATAGATATAACATAATATCAATAATGTATAACATACAATAATATAATAAATATATATATATATATATATCATATATGTTTGTACATACACTCACACACACAATAGTATAATAGAAAGTAAATTAATATTATATATATATATATATATATATATATATATATATGTACACACATATATAGTATTAATTTATGTATGAATGATAAATTATAAATTTTTTACAATGAAGAAATAATTATTTATTCAATCAATCCGACTAAATAAATACAATAGTATATATAATAAGAAATTTTTCACAATCGATCAATTAGATTTTCTTCAATTTTATTATTTAATAAATGTATACTTCATTTGTAATGACATTTATATTTATAAATCAATTGGAAAATATTTATTTAAAAATGTAATTTCTTATTAATTTTATACATATATATGTATACATATACACATACATGCACACACATACACACATGTACATAGATATATACATAAATAATCGTAGATCTATGTACGAACGCTATAAACGCGTGTATTAAGATTATCGAATTTTCACGCGTTTTCAATTTCACGGATAACGTTATCGTGCGTTTTCAATTTCATGGATATATACCTTAATAAGAGAGAACAAGGGGGGCTGAATGACGTCCGTGTACGAACGTCTATTTAATTCAGTGCTATTTATCGGTAAACCATAGCAGGTGTTACATTTCACGGTGCCACAAGGTTATATTCGAAATTATAATCAAGAAAGCATCAATTCTAGCGATACGTATATACAATAGTTTCCTCAATTGATTTAGATTTAATTTTTTCGAGAAGATCGTCTCTCGTCGATTTAATTGTTCCAATGTTGTTTTATTTATTTACTTTTTTTGTTTTTTTTTTTTAATAGGTAAACATGTATTCATATCACCGATAATAATAATAATAATAATAATAATAATAATAATAATAATAATAATAATAATAATAATAATAATAATAATAATGATAAAATACCAATAATAATTCGTATTGTTTTCCATTGATAAATTATCAAATTGTATCGTTTATATATAATAATATGTCTTATTTATTATACATATTTCAAATTTTATTATTTTGCATAATTGTTGAGTTACGTTTTATTTATTTATTTATTTATAAATATATATAATATGTGGTTGAAATTTCAATAGATTGAGATTTAAATTATCGCTCATTCTCCATCTTTGATGATGTGTTCATATATACAAATACATAGTTAATTAGAAATTACAAGTAAATACATCGTAAAATCTCTTTGATGTAACAGAGGAAATACACATTCTCACTCTCTCTCTCTCTCTCTCTTTCTCTCTCTATCTCTCTCTTTCTCTGTTCTCAAATAATAGAACTAATTGTAAGGCATATTAAGCGTTTCTATGCATAGTATTTTCTCGTCGAATAACTCGACGATAATATCATAACGATAATATTGAAATTATTTTTTATAATATTTTTTATACGATAATTTATATTTTTAACGATAATATTGAAATTATTATTACAAAATGTCAATCCTGTAATAATTTTTTTCGTTTGTCTTTTTCTTTCCATTTTTCTTTTTTCTTTTTTTTTTCTTTGTTTCTTTTTTTTTTTTTTCTAAATATTTTCTAACGAAAAAGTTCTTCATTGATCCAACATATACGTTATAAGTTTACAAATAATATTTACCTTTACAAACCTTTTACAAATTTACGTACATTTACAAATAATTATTTATTTCTATAATATCTTTGAAGATTGTATGTATAATCTTTTTTCTTTTTTCTTTTTTCTTTTTTTTTTTTTTTTTTTATTTTTTTTCTTCTTCTTTTTTTCTTTTCCTTTTTAAATTTATTTTCGACAAATAACATTTTCGCATTATCTCTTTGTCTCCGTCGTAATCGTGAACTATTAACGATAATTACTTTTGTAAGGAATGAATTATCATTGCATAGGACATCGCCATTTGAAATCCCTTAAAAGAATAAAATTGTTTGTATTAAATCCATATGTCGATAAATGCAAATTTCCTTTATATATACATATATATATTTTTACATATACATACACACATATACACATATGCACACACACACACACACACACACACACACACACACACATATATATTATATTATTTCGTATATATCTTACTTTGCTAAATAATTCGTAGGACACTGTTAAAAGTTTGCAGACAGTCAATGAACATTTCTTCATACTTCTCATCATGATCAATAAGTATAACTTTTGTAGTTTCGGTGTTAGCAAATACCATGGTTTTGTGATTCTGAAAAATTTCGTCGATCATCATTTGTTACGATTTTCTTTTTTCTCTTTTCTGTTTTTTTTATTTTTTTGTTTTTTTTTTTATTATTATTATTATTATTTTTTTGTTTTGTTTTGTTTATTTTGAAAATTAAAAATAAACGTTGAAAACGTTCAACGTTCGACGACGCTCTATTGAATTTTTAAAATAAAAAAGAAATCTCCAAAATTTTATCTGTAATGAGATTTACATGTCAATTTTGTCCATGCTAAAACGTACGAACAAATCTGATTTAACGTAAAAGAATGAAAAATTCAAAGGAGGGGAGGGGGGGAGGAAAAGAGTAACTCTCATTTTTAAAATCACATACTAGAAATTTTTTTACTAAGCTCCACGCACACACACCTATATGCGATCGATCAATAATATCTATGTATGTATTTGTTAAATTTTTGATATTTACTTATTTCGATATTTATTCAATTTGATAATAATTTGATGGCAATAAAAAAATTTGATAAAATCCGTTTAAAATTATCCCACGTATATGTAATTTATATTAGATTGGGAAGTAAGTAATATCGTAATTTTTATTATTTTTATAATTAAACAAATAAACATTTTATAGTACTTTTTTTTTTCTTTTTATCAAAAATTCTAACATTATTTATTGGCCAATCTAAGAGTATAATATAGTAGGATTATTTCCCGATTGAAATAGAATTCTATTGGATTGAGGTCCAATTTTTAGAGAAAAAAAAAAAAAGAAAAAAGAAACAAAAATATAATAATATAATACTAATGTTTATTTAGATATAAAATAATAATAATTTTAATTAAATTAATACGTTACGTATTAATCAACATGAGAATATAATATAGTTATGTGCATTGCAATAGTATAGTATAGTATAGTATAGTATTGGCTCAACTTAAAAAAAATACATATACACATATATACACATATATACACATATATACATACATATATATATATATATATATACACACATATATATATATAATAATAATAATAATATAAATTACGAAATTATATATTAATCAACAATATTAAACAAACATATAATAACATTACATCTGGGTTACAGTAGTATAATATAGTATTGTATTATATTGGCCTGACTTTTATAAAAAAAAATATATATACATATATATATATATATATATATATATATGTATATATAAAATAATATAAATTCAAACATTATATATTAATCCATCCAAAAATATATTATAATACGATTACGTTTGGATAACAATATTATAGTATAATATTGTATTGTTTGGTCGAATTTTCATAGAAAAGAAAAAGAAAAAAAGAGAAAGAATACTATTGTTTTTCATTTAAATATTAAATAATACTAATTCCCTTCCCTCCCCATTACCTACTTATTAGTTAATCCTACACACATACATACACACATACACACACAGCACATAAACACTAATACACATACATTTATATGTATACGCACAGAGGATCGATCAATGATATATTATATTCCGTGTAGATGAAAACATGACGGAAGGCGATAACGTTTAGAAATAGAGAAGCGTATGGTCAACGTCGGCTAAATGAAAGGGCTCGTTTGAATCACTCATTCAAAAGGTTCACTTACAATAAATGTACTCTATCGTGAAAGAAGCCTCGAGCGTGGGCAGGAACGAGCTCGCATCGTACAAATAAACTAGGCAACCTAGCTATGAATAGCTTTGTGGGAGAAGCCGTAGTTCACTCTATTTTTTTTTTCTTTCTCTTCTTTTTCTTTTCTTTTTCTTTTTTTTTTTTGGTCTTGCGTACGTATGCGTACATTTTCCTTTTCTCCTTTTTTTTGTTTTTGTTTTTGTTTTCTTTTTTTTTTTTTTTTTTTTTTTGGACTTTTTGATCTCTTCGAAGAAATGCATTATTTCGTACGAGAAGTTCAATGACTGTAATATTTTTTTTTTCTTTCTTTCTTTCTTTTTCTGTTTCCTTTTCTTTTTTTTTTTCACTTATCTTACGCTTTAATTATTATTGTAAATTTTAATGTTATCCGTTAATCATGCGTATAACGTATTATTATTGCATTCTGTATTTGCATATACATGGATAGGGTGGTCCACATAAAGCTTTACGAGAAGTATTGTTTTGGTGTATTATATAAGTATATCAGTTTGAAAATAATTTCTTTTCTTTTTTTTTTTTTTTTTTTTTTTTTTTAATGTTAAATAAGAACGAATCGTCGTCGAGTAAAGAAGAAAATAAATGAATAAATAAATACATGAATGTCTGAGAAAAATTTACATTGTCATATTTTTCAATAATACGTTATTATAATTTATTTCACATGTCAAACGAATAAGTTCATCTGTTTAAAGAATTATAATATTCAAATGAAAAAAAAAAAAATTAATAAATAAATCATGATGCGTTCATTCCATTTTATGATTGCACGATGATTTTATTAAAATTATTACGTAACATTTTAATCGGATCACCCTTTATATAAATAATGAAGTGACCATTGCAACGAACAAATAGTAATAATAATAATACTAATAATAATAATAATAATACTAATAATAATAATAATAATACTAATAATAATAATAATAATAATAATAATAATAATAATAATAATAATAATAATAATAATAATAATAATAATAATAAATTGTAATATTTACATTTCCTGAAAGAAATCAGCACTGTGATTCGTCAATCTTTGTCCAATATGAGATTGTAGAATTCCGATTGATGTCATGCAGAGCATGTGAAAAAAGGTTGTGAAAAATTTATACAAATTCGTCTTATCCAAATCAAACTGCAACATCTATAAATTATAAAAATTCTTTCTTTCGTCATAATATATTTTTTCGATATACAAAATGAAAGAAATTAATAATTGTAGTTAGAGTAAGAGATCTTTTGTTAATTTTTTTTATTATTTTTTTTTATTTTTTTTTTTTTTTTTTGTTGATCTTTACCATTATTAAGTCAGTACCAACAATAATCATTCCGAAAACAATGTTAATTGTATAACTCAGATCGCACAACACATTCATTGATTCGACAAACCTTTAATAATTAATAATTAATAATTAATAATTAAAACAATTCAATAATATATGTATATTTAAATATATATATATACAATACATATACACACACACACACACACACTCACACACATATATATATATATGTATATATTGTATACGTATGTTAAAAATATTATTATAATTTGTTGAGTTCGATTTTAATTATAAAAAATTTCACTTATACAGATATACATATGTACATACGTGGTGTGATTAAATAAGAAAGAAAGAAAGAAAAAGAAAAAAAAAAGTAAGAAAGAAAAAAAGGGATTAGAAAAATATTTCTTTAATGGTGATCGAAAAAACTAACTCGATCACTCGATTATGAGAATTAATAACACGATAAAACGTTCCAAAGATCGCCTCTTCGTTATATTTACGAAAGGATAATCTTTCCTCGTTGAATGCATTCTCAAGTATTATTCTGTAAGCAAATAATTAGGTTAATTGGTTATTTCTACTTAGATAATTATGTATTTGTTCGAAATGTTAGCAATCAAATTAACAAAGCTAATTCAGATGAATATTTACTTGACGATATTATTTCTAATCATTTTTATATAATGATAATATAAATGATGTGTATATGTTTGATTTGAAATTTTTTTATTTTAAAAAAATATTTGTTCAAAAATTCATTATACATATAAATTATTATTTATTTATGAATTAATATTGTATATATATATTAATATTAATTCATAAATAAAGTCAATTGTTAATAATAATTTATGTATACATTATTTTTTTATTTGGTGTAATATAATACTTCATAAATCGTTTAAAACGTTTTAGTTTAGAATTATTTTATATAATATATATATATATATATATATATAATATAATATATAATATATTACATCGTTGATATACATTATAATAATTTCAGAAAATTATGTACGTGTTAAAAAAATTTTAAACTATATATATATATCAAACATATATTTATATTTATCATATTATTAATAAATTAATAATCCATAAAAATTAGACGTATCAAAAGAACAAAATTTTTATTTATTTATATATCTTTCATTTTTTTTTTTGTTTTTTTTTTTTAATTTCTTACCCGACTATACGAAACATTGCGCACGCGTGTTGCATTAGAAGTTGAAATGATCCCATATTAATCGTTCCTATGGTACTTAATACCATAAGTAGAAATGAACATATAAATATTCTAAAGTATAAATGTTCCTCCGTATTTATAAAAAAGAGTTCGAATTGATACGGATATATTTCACGACGAGTTTTGTTACTTATTAAAGAGGAATCGATACTCAATGAAATCGTTGATAATAATGCTTTAATAACAATTGGCAGGAAACATATAACTGCAAAAAAAAAAAAGAAACAAAGGATAGAATTTATCAGTAAGAATTTTTTTTTTCAAATACGATATATACCCACTTATTTGCATGCGAAAAATTATTTATAAAAAAAAAAAAAAAAAGAATAAAAAAAAGATTTCATTTCTCTCTTACACAACATTATTAGCAAATAAATTCTGGTTCCTTCGGCGTATTCTTTTATAATAGAAAATTCTTCGATTGTTTTCAAATTGTACCAATCGTTTTTAATGTGATCCAAAAGTTCCTTCTGCTGCATATAAAAATATTTATATTCATATTATAACTTTTATATATATATATATATATATATTTTTTTTTTTTTTTTTTTCGAAAATATTTAAACATGAATATACGTTAAAAATGTAACATTAAAAAGAAAATGAATTCATTGTGAATTCATAAAAGTATGAATGGATATATGCTATAGGATAATGAACATCAATGTTAATGAAAAAGGAATAAAAGCAAAAAAAATATGTATATATATATATATATATATATATATACATATAAATTATATAAATTGTATTAATCTTTACATTTCTTTGAAATAAATATAAAATAGAAGAGATTAAAATTGAAAATATATGAAAAAAAAAAAAAACAAAAAAAGAATAACAAACCATCGTAAATCGATATAATAAATCGTAATGACATACTTGATTTTTCTTGATAATATTAATTAGATAATATATCGTGGCGGTGCATATAGTCGGTCCAAATATAAAGAAAATTTCGGATATTGTTTCTATGGTACATTCTATGGTAAAGAATATTGGTATCTAAAAATAATTACATTCAATACAACGAATGTCATTTTAATTGGACAAATTAAAATTATCCAAATAAAAATAGAATTTAATAATTATGATTAATACACGTATACACATCTATGTCTATAATTAAAAATAGAAGTATTTTAATTGTGGTATAAAAAGAAAAGAAAAAGAAAAAAATAAAAACAAAATACGTGATTAGAATATTTTCAATATATCGCAATTAAATAATATTAGAATATATCTGATGTATACAAAAATATTCTAATATCTTGTTTTATCTATTCCATGTAAAAAAAAAAAAAAAAAAAGTAAATTATCACATGGAACATGATATTGAAATATTTTTCATTATAGGCACGACAAAGCAATAAATCACAATTATAATAAATTACAATATTTTTATAACATATTTATGATACACTCTCATACATAGACACACACACACACATAATAATATTACACAGACATATATCGATATAATAAAATAACACATTTATCATGATTTCGTGCGACAAAACAAACGTGATCCTTATATGATCTATCCCTTGCAACGAAGGGAATAATAAATGTGTAATAAAAAAGAAAAAAAAAAAGAAAAGAAAAAGAAAAAAAATAGAAAAACAAAAGTAATAAAACAAAAAAGAAGACATTTAAAGACCATTTTAAAAGACTTCAAAGACCACTTACTTGTCCAACGATAAGAAAAGTGATTAGAACAAAATTAAGACAATATAGAACCGATTGCCACCAATATCCAGTTTCGTATGGCCAAACACCAACGATAACGTACATATGTCGATGCAGTTTATAATAAGGATTGTGAAGATAAAATGTATCACCATTTTCGATCATTTTCGTCGTATCAATCGAAATCATAACTTTTATTGATTAAGCTAATATCGTAGGATAGAAGAGAATTAAAGGATTTTTACTGGAGTACGTTGTTTCACTTCGATCTACGATAGATGACTAAACCAAAGTTGGCCATAGTTTTGTTCGAAGATATATACGAATGTCCTACGAATTATTTCTCGTAGTACCTACCTTCACGATATTCACTTAGGTGGATCGTCATTACGTCGATGGTAATGGCGGTCATTATCATAGAAAATACGTTTGATTGACATGTACGTATACGTATACGTATGACATGTCGGAGGTCATTCTCGTATTACGTTATACCAGGCCCAAACCTCGTAAATTATTGAACGTTCCCACGATTGCATAGCGATTTGAACGTTATTTACCCCCATTGGTAGCACCCCATCCACCATACTGCCATTTCCCTATCCTTATACGTTCTCCCATCTACCTTTTCACTTACCCCAACATTCCACCCTATTCGACATCAACCAACCATCGTCCGACACGATGTTGACCTCGGTCAAGTAAATTTAAGTAAAAGTAGATAATGATCCTAAATCGATGATATTAGTTTCTTCTTTTCTCTTTTCTTTTCTTTTTTTCTCTTCTCTCTCTCTCTCTCTCTCTCTGTGTGTGTGTGTGTGTGTGTGTGTATGGTTTTTTCTTCTTTTTTCTTCTTACAGCGATATGTAAACATGTTCGTGACGATATTTTATTTATACGTTTCCGTCTCATTTCTTTCTTTCGTTCTTTCTAATTTTCCTTCGCAATTTTCGAGGTAAACGTCCCGTCTTTCTCTCTCTCTCTCTCTCTCTCTCTCTCTCTCTCTCTCTCTCTCTCTCTCTCACGAAACTTGATTACTTTCGATTTGGATTCGATAGATACGTACTATCGTAATTTTGTCTATCACGCTAAATTTCGTGGCTTTTTCTTTGATCGTCTGTAATAGCTATATATATATATAGTATACGAAGTATATATATATATATATATATATATATATATTTCGTATTCGTTTAGTGTGAATGGTATACTACGGAGAGAATTTTTTCGTGAAAACATAAGGTGCTCGTAAAAATCGATGGAATGGCGTGAGTCCTTTCAAGAAATGAACAATTTTGAAATTTTCGCTACGAGATGATTTCTCTCTCTCTCTCTCTCTCTCTCTCTCTCTTTTTTATTCTTTTATCGTGTCTTTACTCGTGGATATTTTCGATTAACGTGAATGAATGATAAGGGTGCAAGGATGATAATTTGTCGATAAAGTTTTCGATCGTTGTGTTTAGAAAAACATTGTTTTGATAATGTGTTTGATTAAAAAAAAAAAAAAATATGATTCGATAGGGTGTCACGTAAGTGCATTATCGTGAGAATCAAAAATTTTTTTTTTTCTTTTTTTTTTTTTTCTATGATGATTTTTCTTTCTCCTTAAGCTTTTATATATATTTCGTATATAACAAAAAAAAAAAAAAAAAAAAAAGAAAAAAAAAGTATATGTGTGCGTGTCTTTTTAATTATATAATTAATTTGACTTATAATTTTTTAAGATCGCAAATCTTGTATACTTGATATGGCTTTTTTTCTTTCCTTTTTTTCTTTTTTCTTTTTTTTTTTTTCTATTTTTTTTCTCGTTATTGTCACGTTACTTATCAGACACCTCGTATTAAATTAAGAAAAAAGGTAAATACATAAATATGAATTTGAATTATTCGAGAAGTAAAACGATTTTAAGTTTGCTTTTTTTTCCTTGATTAATACGAACTAATGAATATTTCTAATTGTACATTATTTCAATGTTAGAATCAGTTCAACGAATAGAACGTATGACCATAGCATAAGATATCGCGTTCTGTAATATCTAAAAGAATAAAGAAAAAGAGATAATAAGATATGTTAAAAAAAAAAAAAAAAAATAGAAAAAGAAAAAAAAAAAAAGAAAAGAAAAGAAAAGAAAAAAAGATGGACAAAAAATTATCTAACGTCTATATTATACCGATGTGGTCAATTCCAAGGACGTCACAAATGTTTGTCCGATAATCAGAGCCGACAATTTGTCGCATCTAATCATAATAATTAACAATAATTGTTGCATCTTGTATGGCGCCAAATACCACATCGAATTGTAACTGAAATTTATTGAGGAATCATTAGAAAATAGAGGGAAAGAAAAATGGGGGAAAAAAACAAAACAAAAAAAAAAGAAAAAAAAAAAAAGAAAAAAAAGGAAGAAAAAAACAAAGAAATAGAATAGAGAGATAAGTGCATTTGAATGCAAATCTGACGAACGTTGTTAATTTTACGATGCTCACGCGTTATTCAATATCTCGGCGCTTTTATTCAGTAACATTTGTCCGATGTAAGAAAAAAGAGACAGCCATAGAATGATAGTAATCATATAGAATAGAGCCGTTAAAAATTCCCTTTTATTTTTGCTAATATCTTCCACGGAAAATACCTTTGAGGATTCGAAAAATTTTTTATCATTAAAAATGACGTATTCGCTGAAACAATTCTCTTTTTTCTTTTTGTTTTTATCTTTTTTGTTTTTTTTTTTTTCTGTTCTTTTTTTCTTTATTTATTTATTTATTTATTTATTTATTTTCTTAAATAAGAGAAACTTACTTGAAAGAACGCAATCAAAATCATCATAAATCCAAGTATCAAGTGAATTATTATACTTGTTTTAAATGTTGAATTTATGTTATCGATGAATCTTTAAGGAAAAATAAGAAAAAGTAATTTGAGAATATTACACACACACACACACACATATATATATATATAAAATATATATATATATATAGTAAAAAAGGAATATTATATAAACAAAAAGAAATTTGTATCAGATTTATGTAGCTGGATACTTATGCATGTTTCTAGTTTTACAATTTCTACGTCATAATAATGAAATAAGATACGAAGTATTTTCGTTTCACTTAAAATATCTATGTAAATATTACAATTACATACAAACCGTATAGTTCTCGTGTGACATAAAACACAACGTATTATTCTCATCGTGATATTCTCGATATCCTTTTCTGTACATTCGTTGTAATTTCTCGTATCAAATGCATGTTTCAACATATTCCTAAGTAATATATACATATTATATATATATAATATAATATATGTCTGTTAAGTAATATATAATAAATTATTAATGTGTGCATTTACATGCAAATAATAATGATAATATAATAATAATATAATATAATATAATATAATATATTATTATTAATATACGTATTCGATGACATATATTAATAATAATGAAAATAATAATAATAATAATAACAATAACAATAACAATATATCCACAATATATTATTATTAATAAATATATTTTATTAATAATAATAAATTAATATATACATATATATATATATATATATATTAATAATTTAATAATGATTAACAAGTGATCAATGTTATTGACAATATTTCGTTATAAACGTATATAAAAATAAAATTGAAAGAAGTGATCGGTATCGTTTTAATACTTAAGAAAGAAATATCTTTTTCTTTCCTTCTTTTTTTCTTTTCTTTTTTTCTTCTTCTTCTTTTTTTTTTTTTTTTTTTAACCTCGATAAAATTATCCTTACCCAGTAATATCGAGCAAACCATAGGCATGCTGAAAGTAAATAACAAAAAGCATATACGAAGCGTTTATAGAAATTCCCATGAAAAATAACACAATGTAGATCAGTACCAATACAAAGAATATATATCTTTGCTGATCGATAAATATTTCTATTTTAAATGGTATTTCGTACGTTTGAGTTTTTCTCGTTGATAAAAAGAGGTCGAATAAAAATCTTGAGGTCACTGGTAACATGTACAATAATATAATACTGAAATATATCACTGAAAACATTATAAATTTTATAAAAAAAATTGTCCATAAAAATATACAAATAATAATAATAATAATAATAATAATAATAATAATAATAATAATAATAATAATAATAATAATAATAATAACAATAATAATAATAATAATAAATTTTTGGTTTCTTTTTTCTTCAATGACAGAGAATAATCGTGTATTTTTTATAATTATCGTATAATTAATATTAAAAATTATTATTATTTTTTTTTTCAATATTAATAATTATTAATATTAAAAATAATTTAATAATAATAATTATTATTATTATTGCATAATGATTAATATTAAAATACTTGAAGAGAAAAAAAAAATTGGATTATTAATTTAAATTATTAATCCCATTCCTAGGAGTGACAAAAGAAATAATAAAATTTTTGTTCATTATATTTTATACAACTATAATGCGAGCTAATTTTTCTTTTTTTCTTTTCTTTTTGCCTTTTTTCTTTGTTAAATCGTGTAAAAAAATACGTGTCTAATTAAAAATCTAAAAAGTTTCGAGATGAATAAAGGATAAAGAATAATTGATTTTTAAAAATCATGTAAAAAACTTTTCACTCGTCTAGGGACTTTTTTGGTCCCAAATCTGACGTACACAGAAATCTACATATATACATATATAATATCTATAAATAAATAAAATTAAATGAAAAATAATCTTACCAATACTAATAATCGTATATATTCTAGTCAAGCTCGCATATTTCTCCATGATACGTCGTTCCTTATCAGAAATTAAATGGCACCAATCGTAATTCATATGTTCGATCATAATCTTCATCTGATTACAACAAACAATTCTATAATATATCAAATATAATAAATATATTTTCATCGATATTTTTTTCTTATATTTCATTAAGAATGCATCCAGTTACCTTGCTATGAGAACTGGTGCTATAATAAGAAATGAATAGACATAACGATGGTACAAGAAACGAAAATATTGTACTAATCGTTTGCAGTGATAAATCAGATTTTATGAGGGCGAATATCTAAAACAAAAGAAAGAAGAAAACGAAAATTAAAAATAACAACAATAACAACAACAATAACAACGACAACAACAACAACAACAACAACAACAACAACAACAACAACAACAACAACAACAACAACAACAATAATAATAATAATAATAATAATAATAATAATAATAATTTTATCTTTGTCATCCTTATTATTAACAATTTATAATGAACATTTATATTTGCATAGTGGTCGGCATTGTCAATTTGAAGAAAAAAAAAGAAAAAAAAATATATATATATATATATATATATATGTGTATATATATTTATACGTATGTATAAATTTATATAAAATAAAAAAAATTAGAATCCGACGTAAGAAACAATAAAATTAATCATCATCAATCTGTCATAATTATTTCATTAGAATTTAATTGTGCTATATCGATCATATATATATATATATGTATCAACTATATAATAAATACATTAATATTGAAATGAAATGCAAATACAAACAAACAAACAAACGAACACACATGAATACACTCACAAATACACACATATACACTTGCAAGAGAGACGGACTTAAATTCACAGAAGAAAATAAATAAATAAAAAAAAAAAAAAAAAAAAAAAAAAAAGAACAAAAAGAAAACACATACACACACCGATTATGCTCACTTGCGATAATATTGTAATTGTAAGTGCTATATAAGTTCTGATCTTTCGTATTAGACTATCCCTTGGATCATCGTATGGCCAAATACCAACGATCGATAAAAACAAACGATTGAGTTTATAGTAACGAGACGTAAAAATAGTTTCCATCCTCTTACGACGAAGGTCTACGTTGGTCTAACTTACGATGATACCCCTACCAAGAAACCCGTTTCCTTGATCAACCCCTTCTTCCATCATACTATCCCATTCTGTTCTATTATACCATATTTTCTATCATTACTATATCTTACATAATAAATAAAGTGTTTTATTTATTAGAAAAGAGAGAGAGAGAGAGAGAGAGAGAGAGAGAGAGAGAGAGAGAGAGAGAGAGAGAGAGACAATATCCCTAAGAACTAGTCGCTTCATGAACTATTATAATAAACATCGAAATTGTTCTTAAGGATAATAGAAGGGAGAAATGGTAGTTGCAGATTGAGACGAAGAAGAGAAAAAAAAGAAAAAGAAAAGATAAATAGATAGATATAGATAAATGTATAGAAAAGGGGATGATTGGGGTGCCTTTACCGCGAAAGAAGTTTGGAATTCGCACGATCACGGCAACCCTTTGTATCTAATAGCGGGAAAAATGGTAGAGTGTGGAAGGAGTTAAAGGGGGTTAAAGTAAGGTGATAGTAAGAATAAAGCCAACCCCTTTCATGACATCGAACTTATTTTCCATCCTCGATCGACGTCAACCCTTCGCTTTGACTTTTTTTTTTCCTTTACTTCCACTTTTTCTTATTCTTTCTCTCTCTCTCTCTCTCTCTCTCTCTAGTTCTTTTCTTTTCTTCTTCGTCTCTTCGTACACCCTTCATCCCCCTTACCCTACTACCCTATTGTCTCCCATCTCTCGCACACTCCCGTAAATCGTTCTGTGTTCCTTGCTCGTGGAGAAGAGTTTAACGTTGTTCTTTTTTTTTTTTTCTTTTTTTTCTTTTTTTTTTTCTTTTTTTCTTTTTCTGTTTTCTGCTTTCTCTTTTCTCTTTTCTTTTTCTCGAGATTATAGACTATCGAGTTAACGATCCTCTTTATTTTTTGTTTTCCTTTCTCCTCCTCCTCCTCCTCCTCCTCTTCTTCTTCTTCTTCTTCTTTTTCTTTTTCTTTTCTTCGTTTTCTTACTTTTCCCGTAAAATATCTCTCGTCGTGTTTAGAGCTCGATTTTCTACCTTCTCCCTCCTATACTTCCCTCACCCCTCCCCTATCCTCCCCTGCTTTCCCCTTCCCGAGCCTTCCTGCTGACCCTTTTTTTCTCTTTTACTCTTTTTTTTTTTCTTTTTTCCATTTTCTTTTTCTTTTCTTTTCTTTTCTAACCGAAGATACCGTAGTTTACGTTACATGTTTGAAATGGAACGAATAGGCGAAGGAACAGGAGAAAGGGTAAATAAATGTAAGTAAGGATGTTTTTTAACACGCGACGTGCGTGATACGGGACTGTGTATTGGAGAGACGTGATAGTGGAAGGGGGAGGGGGTAGGGAAAGGTTAAAATGGTATATGTTCATGGTATTTATCGGTTTATGGAATTCGCATTATTGGAGAATAAATTTACGTTTCTTCGTGTTTTTTGCTTTTTCTTTTCTTTTTCCCCCCTACGAACTGTTGTTTGTTCTCACAGACATTCGTATGTATATATATATACATATGTGTGTGTGTGTGTGTGGAATAAGTATCAATGTATTGGTAAGTACATACGTAATTACATAGATTGATACATATGTAAATTTTTAAAGCGATAACGAAAATGTCGATCGATCGAGAGATATTAACATTAGTACAATATATTTTGTAATTGTTATTAACATGTCTTTATGTATATAAACATACGTACATAAATATGTAGATATATATATATATATGTACGTATATTTAAGTATCGATATTTAATGATTGTATTCGAAATTTTGTTCAAAGAACATTAAAATATCTTTCTTTCGTTAAATCGATTAAAGACAAAATCATATTTATATATTATGATTCTTCTATATATCTGATAATTAATTATTATTAAAAACAATAACATTTCGTTAAGAAATATTGTAAATAAATTAATATAATTAATTATGTATATGTAAACTATACAACAAATTTTTCAAACGTATTTCTTTGTTCACTTTCACTCCCTTTTTCTCACTTTCTAAACACACACACACACACACACACACACATTGTGTCCTATATATTTAATACGCGATATGTAATGAATGTAAATTCGGATTTAATTAATCGGTAATTAATTTATAAGTGATAATAATTTTAAAATAGATAGTACATTTAAAATGTTTAGAAAGGAATTAAAAATGACCGTCTCACTTGCTTGTTAACTTTCAACTGTGGTCCTTTTCCTAGTTCGACTATTCTCGACGTTCGTCCGTTGACGTCATCGTCCTTCAATGCTTATCGTTTGTTTATTATGCCTCGCTCATTCACGTACGTATGTCCTATGTGCGTATATGTATGTATATTACACACACCTTTCATAATTTTTCTCTCATTCACTCTGTTATCCACGTTCTCTTTCATTCGTTTCTAAAAGATATATGTATGTTGTAGTAATGTTGATTAAAAATTTATATATATATATATATATATATATATATATATATGGATACATATATGTATGTATACTTATGTAAATAATATATAAATATTTTTTAATGAATATTTATTAATTTTTACAATATACATTGATACAGTATTTAATTCTATTATTTGTATTATTATTATATTATAAAATATTAATTATATATATATATATTATATATTAAAAGAAAATATACGATATTGTAAATATAATAATAATTAAATACTAAACTTAGAAAGAGATAAATATATTATAATTCTTTTATAATTTTTTTTTATATAAATTTTTTTATATACATACATTATAAATGCATTGTTTATAATATATTTTTATATTATAAAATATAAATAATGTGATATACATTACAGTAAAAGGAGAAAAGCTAAAAGAAAATGTACTATTTCATACTCTTTCTAATTATGTCATATAGTAAATAATTTTATTATTCTTCTTTTTTTTTTTTTTTTTCTTTAAATTACTCACAAAGTTTATACGAGTAATAAGAGACCAAAAAAAAGAAAATAGAACTAACGATTTCGTCGAGATTCAATAATATTCAATTCTCTTCTGCATAAAGATAATATATATATATATATATATATATATATATATATATATCTTTGTCATTTATTGTTGTCATTGTTGTTAGATATTTGTTTTAAAAAATTGTTCGTCCATATGGTGCTCTGATTTGTTGGATTCATGCTAACTCATCGTTTACGCTTTGTACCCTCATCTGCCCGTGCATGGCTTGTATATATCCACTGGTGGCTCGTAAAATGTTTTTGGGTTTAACAACTGTACGCCCTGGTGAACGCGATTTGTATGCTTATTCGGCTATACCAATTGAATACCAATTGGTATCTAACTCCAAGCCGATGCATCGGTAATTCGAACGATTCGTATTGGTAAGTGTGAAAGGTATTAAAACTATAAATATATATGTGTCCTAAATAAACGTTTTACCAAAAGAGGTTTATGGTGCATCTATTACGTAACGTCGAATCGAGCAGTGAAATTTAATTAGTATATACGATCGTTGAACGTGTTCTTTATGCACTATCGTTTTCGAGTTAACTTAACCAATATTTTTATCGAAACGTTCCGATAATAGTTGATATTAATGAGTACAAAGTAATAAGTATTAATTGATTATTTGAAAGGTTCATTATAAATATATATGTATATACGTATATACAGGACGGTCTTTTTTAAGTATAATCATTTAAATATCTTTTTTTCGGCTTATTATGATGTAAACAATATTTTCTATGTCATGTATGTATGTTAAACAACGACGACGATGATATCAACGATGTCGGCTATCCTCGGCTATCTTCGGCTGCTGTTGTTGACGTCACCATCGTTGTTGGTCCTATTCCGTCGCCATTACGTCGCCATCATCGGTCCCATTCGGTCGTCGTTGTCGTCCTCGTCCTCGTCATCGGTATTATATATATATATATATATATATATATATGTATTATAAATTAAAGATTGTTGAAAACATTTTATATTTAACTACGTCCAAACTATATTTATTTAGGTAGTTTAGTATTGAAATAATAATATTTGAACATTTGTAAAAATTCGTTTTGAATCGTAAACAGCATAAATACATGCATATATACGTTACATTATATTATTTGCATATATTATAGTAAAGCGTTTTGAAAAATTCAAAGAGCTGGTGATATAACGATACATCTCGGTTTCTTCGATGGCGAACGATCATATCCCCCATAAAAGATTTCGTTTCTCGATTCGAGAAAAGCGAATTTTCTACGTTATTTCCGGTTTTGTATGTAGTACGTCGCATTGAATGCACGTGTGGACGATCGAGTCGTCGATCTTACCTCTTTTCTTGCTAGAAGAAGAAGAAAAAAATGGGGGAAGAAGAGAGAGAGAGAGAAAGAGAGAAAAAGAGAAGAAAGAGAGAGAGAGAGAGAGAGAGAGAATGTGTGGGTGTAAATCAGAAATGAATTGAATGAGAGAGATTGTATAAGTGTGAGAAACTGTGAGAAAAAGAAAAGAGAAGATATAAATGAGAAAGAAAATCATAAAGAGAGAAAGAGAGAGAGAGAGAAAATATAAGTGATTAAAAAATTGAAAGAGATAGCGTATGAATGATTGAGAAAGATAAAGAAAGAATGTATGAGTGATTAAGAAAGAGATAGAGAGAACGTATGAGTGATTAAGGAAGATAAAGAGAGAGAGAGGGAAAGTTTACGAGTTAGTAATGAATGGGAGAGAGAGAGAGAGAGAGAGAGAGAGAGAGAGAGAGAGAGAGAGAGAGAGGGGAGAGAGAGAGAGAGAGAGAGAGAAAGAGAGAGAGAGAGAGAAAGAAAAGGGTTGAGTGAGAAAAGAAATCAAAACGTGATAGTGGATGAGTTAATCAGTGAATGAGTGAGTTAAAAAAAGAAGGAGAGAGAGAGAGAGAGAGAGAGAGAGAGAGAGAAAATCAAAAGAAAAATTGGAATGAAAGAAAGAGAAAGATAGCGAGAGTGTATATTAGTTAATGAACT